AGTAATCTGGGGTGGAAGCCGTCTGGTCCACATGACTTGTTTGGATTTACAGCCATAAGGCGCTTGAGAACCTCTTCTTATTGTATTTCAAAGCTTGTTAATTTAGAGCCCACTGGGCGCTCCTCAATAGCTGGAATATTGTTCAAATCAGTGAATACGCTACTGAAAAACTGATCAAGAACGTTGGCCTTGCTCTCATCATAGCTCATAGGATATCTTTCGTTGATCTCCTTTCAATTCAGAAATACCGTCCTTCATCTTGCACTTCGAGCTAGCGTACAAAAAGACGGCTTTCGGGTTCTTTTTTTCATTTTTAGCAATATTTTTTTCGAGGGTTTTTACTGCGGTGCGACAACTTTCTTTAGCTTGATTTCGAGCTCTTGCATATAGTTTATAGTTAGCATCGCTACGAGTCTGTAAATAACGCTGGTAGGCTTCCTTCTTTGTTTTCAGCTGAGCTAGAACTGTACTGTTCATCCACTGTTTTTTTGGCTCCACCAAGCTTAATTTCAGGTACACACGCATCAACTGCAGACATAACCGTGTCCTTGAGAAAAGACCATGACTCAGCCACATTCATGTCCTTAATACAGTTCGAAATATTCACTGCTTCACGGAGTTTATCATAGTCGCCTTTCGCAAAATTCAAACGCTCACGCTTTCGAGGCGTCTTCTCTGTACAGCACTTTAGACTGAAAAACAATGATTGGTGATGGCTTTTGCCCAATGGAGCCTCGTGACGAAGCTCATCTAACATTGATTCATCACTAGTAAACACCAGGTCTAGAATATTGGGATTCTGTTTACTTCTATAATGGGTTGGCTTAGTAACGTGGTGAACTTATGGCTATTTGAAAAGAAATGGTGAACTTTTAGGGGTTTAGGAGTGAGGGCCGTTTAAGAAGTGTGAATTGAGATATATATAGGTAAGTGATAACAGCAGTTCCTCACCCTCTCCCTATTGTTTATAGTAAGTAGGCATCACGTAGGGTAGGCTTGGGTAAGAATCAGAAGGTTTTAGTATGTTTATTAATGGAATGAAGACTGACGGCACGACCAACACCTGTGGGGCGGTGTGTCATTAGAATACAAACATGACATGAACAAAAATGGAATATTAATGTTTAAGAAGATAATTAATACAAATAATTATTCAGATATTATGAGGTTGAATAGCTATCTGACTTTGATTCAGAAGGTCGACTAAGCATAACACTGACACAAAACAGCAGAAAACAATATTAAAAATATATTGAGAGCAAGCCATGATATAGTTCTGACGGTTACACTTTGAAATATTTAATCACAAATAGCTGAATTTAAATTTAACGATCGGCTGAGCAGCTTACCCCTTAACCCTGGAGATCTTAACACGTCGACGTGAAAAAGCAAAGTGATTCTACCGTATGGTTCTAGCGCTGTCCGCTAGCACCTTCTAAAGTCTAAACGAAAATCACAACTTTCGAGTGATCGAATTAAATATAAAAAGTATTTTGTCGTATATCAAACTATATTGTAACTCAAAAATCATACGAATATTATTAGTGCTAGAAAATTGAATATCTCTTGACAGAATGTCTGCATGATTATTTAAAGTTAAATTGACGACATAGGAAGTAATAGACAAGTTTCTAAGTAATTAAGCTGCGAATAGCTATAGAAATTGGTGATAAACGAGTTTGAAGAGTTAATAAAAATAATTACGACATTCACAAGAAATGATAGTGCGAGTTATGATCGAGTCACTACAAACTTTTTGTCTATTTTCTTTACTTTTAAATTCCTGGTAATTTGTTTGGCTTTCATCTATTCATTACGTCTCTTCCTTTCAAAGATTTATGCTATTTTTATAAATTTTTTATGTCATCATACAATGGATGGATTATTTGCATGAACAAAACTGGCAGCAAAATTGACTCTATCCAATGACTGATCAAGGAACCTAGGAGAATATTTTCCAAACTATTAGTATTTCTATTAAGAGCAGGGCTATTGTCAGGTGTTCATGCACCGTCACCTTCAGTGACGCTTTACTTGTCGTACGTAGCTTGCGACACTACGCGGGTGGACCCATAAAGCTCTTCAAGGGGTCGCCTGTCGAAGACCACCACTGCCCTGGATGTTATGGACCATCATGATTCCTGCCTTCCGGAACGTAGCCGTCAACACTTCAAGCCGTCCGTATCTAGGCCGATGGTCGAATTACCAGCCCTCGGTCGAACGGCCACTCGTCGAAGGACGATAAATTTTGGAACAGAACTATGATGCTATCTGAAACCTAACCGCAGATGCGGTGAACGTAAAATTACGTAATTTAACGATGTCCGGAAGTCAGATTCGATCCGCGGCCTGGTGGTGCACGGCAGGTTCTATGCGAGGCCGGAGAAAGACAAAACCGAGTGATTCACGGCTGATTGGTGGATGTCCGGAGAGTTCCAAGGGTTTCGATTTAGGGCTTATTGGTGCACAAAATTGGTGATGCACGGCTGCGCTCCCCTCTTCAAGCATTCCACCAGTCAGTCGTAGTGAGAGACCTCCGAGCGTCCACACCTTATTCCTAAGCTCCGACCCTCGATAAGCTTCTATATCGAGCTGGCCGTTTCAATCCCTCTCATCGATGCTGTAAACTCATAGTGCCTATTGTATAATTTAATTAGTGAGTAAACTGTTCTGTATTAATTGCCTTTCACTCCTGCTATAGCCAAAGACAATAATAGATCCCGAACCTTCAGGTTGATATTATATTCATCAAGATAGACAATAAATTAATTAATCCAACAACACACTGAAAAGTGGAGATTGGACACTATTAGGTTCTATTATTTAATGTTTATGATTATTATTTATTTTCTATTGTTTATTGATCTATCATTTATGATATGTTATATGTATTGATCTACACTGTTTATAAATTGTTGTAAATAATCTGAAATGTAGGTGGAGCCTTGTCTATATCAGAGACAGTCATATCATTTTGATTTGACCATAGACGTTTCTTCCTAGTATCGGTACCACTTATTGTAAATGGAACATAATTTACTGTGAGAAATTATAAATTTCTCACCGATTATTTCTGTAATTTCCAAGCTAAATATTATTTCCAAACAATATTCCATAATAATAAAGGTAATCTTGAATTATTTATTTCCGACGCAGTGCGGTTGCCTCTTGTCCAGCTTGTGCGGACAAGTCAATGTCCGAGACTGGGCGAACAAGCTCGTCAGATTTCTTAGATTCATTAAGCTGTTCCGAGCGGTGGTCGTCAATCTGTGATACTTGCGAACTTCAGTTTTTGTGCCGTCAACTAATCAGTGTCTCCAGAAGCTTCATACTCGTCAGTCATTAAGTATTTCTCTAACTTCCTATAAAACCTGATTCGCTGTCCCTTAGTTTGTGCGAATGCCGTGTCATTTTCCTTTTGTTTGGTTTGCAATACCTGTGCTTATTTTTACTCCTGTGGGAAGTTGGACACATATTTTAAGTGTATCATTTTAAACAAATTTATATCAAATTTCTATCAGATTAATATCTAATATATTTTAAATCTATAGCAAAGTTTAAGTTTATCTCAAATATATATCAAAGTTATTAAATATATGGTATGATAAATATATATAGCTAATCCCAGCAAATAATTTAAAATTGTTTCAAAGTATAATCAAAGTTTATTAAATATCGATAGTTCTATTATGCTAGAAGAGGGTTCGTGCAATTCACGATGGCAGTTCGCTATACTGTTTCGGAATGTGCAATCCTAATTTAAGTCTGTCATCTTCTTTCAACACGCAGTGAAACCTTTAGCTATTCTTGCTGTCTTTTTCCGTCCAACTTCCTACTCCTCTGACTGATTTCCTCTAAATTTCTTAAATTAAACTCTTCATTCATTCCATTGTCATAAAGTCATAACACTGGGCATTAAAAACCTCAGGTCAGTTGAGATCTTAAATTAATTTGTTCTTTGTTGCTGAAATTGCTGATAATTAATTTTACTGTCAGATCCTGCATGAACCTGACCAAGATTATGCTTATTCCCTTCTAGTATCTACATTCCTCAAGTTTCGGGTCCAGTGTTGTCGATGGGCCTTTCCTCCGTGCTACGTTATTTCTTTTACGTAACGTCTACGTTGTCTTGCGTCACGGCTACGTCGCAGCATCTGGAAGACCACACCTGAAGCCCTTTAAACTTTGCCACGCTCGGAACAAGCCAACCTTATTTTACTTCATTGCCATGGCTTACTGAATTTTACTTCATCGTTCCTGCTTCCAGGGGGATAAATAAATAAATGAATGAAAACCTTATGAAGCATCGTGGCTATTACTGAAAGCGCCGTTGCTGCTTCCAGCCAGTTTTAATTGTACTGAATTCATTAAATAAACCTTTGAATCTAAACTCGACTGTATAAATCCTTACATTACATATACTTACGTAATTCGCCACTGCGCTTTACGTTCACCAATTTGTACTCCTAAATGAGGCACGATTACTCACTAGGGTGAGGTCAGGGCTTGAACTATGGGCAAAATAATTCTTCATGAAATACTTTTGTTCGCTGAACCACTTCCGTTTTGTGACTCACTTTTGTTCTTTGATTCACTTATGACCTTCAACACTTTCGTTCTTTGACTCGTTAACTTTTGTTCTATGACTCACTTTTGCGCTTTGACTCACTTTCCCGCTTTGACTCGCTTTCGCGCTTTGACTCACTTTTGCGCTTTGATTCGCTTTCGCGCTTTAACGCGCTTTCGCGATATGACTCGCTTTTGCGCCTTGACTCGCTTTTTTATTTATTTCTTGAACAATGATTGCAGATAAGATTTACTTGTCAACAGGGCTTTACAGTTGCCAATAGTATTATTTCTTTATTCAAACTTCGTAACATTCAACTATTAGTATAGTATATAAAAATATTTTTCTGATGCATTCTTTAGGTAGAACATACTGGGTTGTAAAAACGTATTTTAACTATATTTGGGAATATAAATCAATAAAAACATATAAATAATATTAATAAAATATTATTATTAATCAATAAAAGACAATAATCTTTACTACAAAACTACAGCCTGTAATACTGATTAATACATTGTTTAAGGAAGCATAAAATCTACGATATATTATAATCATTTGGCGGTGTGGGGCTCCTCAGTAACAGGAGGCGGGATGAACAAGAAGAGTATGGCCGCCACTGCCGTACACGAGCCCATGAGGTAATACGTGGGCGCGTAGCTCCCGGTCCCGTCCACGAGTGCGCCTGCACGATCAAACAGCGCGTTCAAGCACCGCACAAAATATTTGTAGACAATGGCAAATTTTTTAGACAATGGCCTTACGAAAAATTTGTAGACAATGGCAAATTTTTTAGACAATGGCCTTACGAAAAATTTGTAGACAATGGCAAAATTTGTTGACGAATTGTAACTTACTTGCCATCATTGGCAACACGTTCATACGGGACCTTCTAAAGCTTACAATAAATCGAATGTTGAATGAATGGAGTCATGTTGTTCAAATAGTGACACACTTTCCTACTCACAGCATGAGCAGAAAGTGGAGCATTTGCCGGAACTAACTGGTTTAGGATGACCCACTCATCGCAATACAGGCTTATTTATTTTGACAAAATTTAAGTCATTTTCTTGATTGCACTATTTCCTATGTAAGATATGAACTCTTCAAGTCTATGGTACAAAATTCGTCGCTGTTTCTTAATTGTTGGTCTCAAATAAGAATGATAGACCGCATGAACTAAATTGAATAAAAAATTTCTCGCGTCATTCCAACCAATTTTACATTTTTGTGAGGCCCTCGGGAACACCGAATCGTATTTGTGACTCAACGTGTGCATGGCGAAGGGAATATCTCACCACGTTTCTAGGGTCGCATAGCTAACCAAGCATCATCCTCCATGTAACTTGCAACTTCTGTTTTTTTTGGAATTTTATTTTGTAACTCGTAACGACGTATGGCTTTTAAATTTAAGTAGGTAAAGTAAGAAATTATTGTTTTGTTATGTTTAAAATAGTATAATGAGTATATCTTATTTGGTTAGGGACATTTCTCAGAACATTAGAGTTCATCTTAAACCCCTTGCAAAAGCAACGGTCTTGCACGTTCGTGACTTAGATAGACCGACCTCAAACCGGATCAATATATGCAGACTAACTCAGACCGCAAATTCTGACAACCTTGGAGTTGATGTCAACTGTTGAACGCTCAATATTCTTTTGCCAACAATGTTCGAACATCGAATCTATAGACTCTAAAACGCACGAATAATGACAAGTTTTGTGTAAGTCCAACGTATTACGAATTCCTGCCTGTAAAATCATTTTTTATTTAATTTTAGAGTGACGTTCACTTTTCTGAAAGATGAGACACGTACACCAGAACTCATAATAAAAAAGGGCGCGTGATGCCGCATATACTTCAATGGAAGCAAAATTTCATTATAGGCATGCCAAAGAATTATTTATGTAAGAAAATTATAACTTTTATATTAGGTTTCATTATTTGCACTCTAAAAAACCATCTACCATGACCTCGCATCAAGTTATCGAGAAAATACAAGGTCTTCTTTGTCTCAGTCTCAGCAGCAAAGCCCCATTACATAAGCTTATACGTTGAGGTAAAGAATTTATCACAGAACCTATTAAATTCAGCTCAGTTGCATCAACGTGGCAGAAAAGATGGTTTCATCATACACTGTATTTCAGTCAGCAAATTAAATTTTGAACTGTACAGCAAAATAATTTTTTTCTCATCAGTGATTGTGATATTATCACAATGAATGCATTATCTAGGGAGTGTGTTTATGCGTGTTCAAATGAAATGCACGTGAAATGTTTATCACGATGAACATAAAAATTAACAAATATCCCATACTCGTCCTTAACCAATCTACTCAAGTTAGACTAGATTTGTTTTAGCTCATTTTATGGCCTAGGAACAAAGCCTATTACATGACCTAAGAACAAAGCTCATTTCATGAGCAAAGAGCAAAAAAATATAACTCCGTACTCACTGCAGTGAGTGACAGAGAGCGCATTTTCTCGTCCGTCCGTGACGTGCAGTCACGGACGGACATGACGAGCACAATAGCGCCTTTTTTCCATAAATGATAAAATTCGCTAAAAAGCCGCAAATCTTTTTCGCCTCACCGTTGACTTGTGGGGCGACGAGGCTCATGAAGCCCATAGTTAGCCTGGTGAAGCCGTAGGTGACAGGGAGGCGTTTCACCCCCAGAGTTTTGGCCAGAAGGGTGGGCAGAAGCACAATGTAGGCACCCACGCCGAACCCGTAGCAACCCATCGCTGTCCCCGCACTTGCCAGCGTCGCTGTCAGCGGTACGAACATGGTGCCTGCTGCTGCTAACGCCGTGCTGTGGGAGCATGGGTACAGAAAGAGAAATAAATGTGTTTGATTGTCGAAATTTTGATAGAACTCGCAACACAAGGCGAGTGCGGCCGTAGCACTGATACACTTTTTTGCCGCAACAAACAGTCACGACGCCCCACATAAGCGCAGAAATGGCATTGCTATTTGGGCAGATCCTTCTTACTTCTCTGAGAGCCAACATGAACGGCAATTACCACCAGTCGAATTAAGTTAAAATATCGTTGATTACGAACAGATTTTGTTGGAACCACGTTTAATCCTTCAACGTTGTTCCGACGTCAGATGCCTGGTGGGCAATATATCACTACAAGCGTGAACACCCCAGAGCAATTTGTAGCATCAGTCACAAGTTTCCATAGTATGTTATAGTTCAGATACTTTCGATTCTGGAAGAAAATTTCTAGCATCGTAATTAAAATCTCGTAGCTCATGGTTGAGTTCTGACGATGAGGCTACGGGGAGAACTCGTAAGTCTGTATCATATAGTGAGAGAGATAGAGTTCGACAGCTCGAAATAAATACAAGAGTGTAGAAGAAACTAATAATTGTTGCGTTATCATCGAATATGTTCATTCATGTCCTCCTAAAGCTCGTTAACAAATCCGCATGCATAGCTCAGCATATATTAATCATTTCTATCGATTAATAGATCCCGTCTTAGTTCTTCAACAATTGGAAGCGAGAAACATACCTGTAGTTCACATACTACTCGCAAAACATGAATATTATTTAGATTAATGATTTCAGCTAAAGATTACTTGCCCAGCTGAAATCAGGAAGGACGGCCTAATATTATTCTTACTTACCCGGTTGAAATCAGGAAGGTTGACTTAATATTACTGTTACTTACCCGGCTGAAATCAGAAAGGTCGTCCTAATATTGCTGTAGTCTGCGACAAAACCGATGATGAAGCGACCGCAAAAATCGGCCGCAGAAGAAATGGACAACAACGCAGTCACTTCCGGCTTCCGCATGTCAACGGATGCGTAGAACGCATGAATGTAGAATAGAGCTTGAGGAGCTGCCATGCTAATGAGGCATGAACATATTGACATGATAATCATTGATCTGTTCTTCAAAACCTCCGGGTCGAAACATTCACTTACAGCCTTAGTGAACATTTTGAGCTCTCGCGATACAAAACCTTCTTTATTCGCTTGACTCAACTGACCAACATTTTGGCTGCAATTGCTGGAAGTTCCGATATGACATTCATCCTCACCGTGTTGAAACTCCTTTTGCACAGGACCATGCAGAACCGATGAAGTGCAATGAATTTTAGGCCCGACATTCTCTTCCTTGTTCAGAAGCTCTTCAGTTTCATTCGGCGAACTTTGACCAGTCGAAGATACAGGCAGCGGATAGCGTTTCAAAGAAGTGTTGTTACAGGCAAACCGTCGAAGTGAAATCTCGCGCTGTCGATATTCCTTACTTTCCATTGGTTTAAAATCGTTTGAAATTGTAACTGCTGAAGACTTTCTGTCCATTACAGCTGCAGGCGAATCATCTTCGTTTTCTATAAGAGGTTTCAAAGTGAAGAGGTCTATGTTTCGATTTGAAGGCGCACATTCACTGGATGAACGTGTTCTATTCTTCGGCTTTGCCATTTGACCTATAGAGTTTTCAGACACGCCATATTTTACATCAGACAACTGCAAGGCGATATCAGATCTTGCTCTGTTTCCCGATAGATCGATGATGGAATCTCTGAAAGTTTGCAAATTTGGAATGCTATTTGTTAAGGGAATACTTCGATAAGATGACAGTTCCCGGGTGAAAAGTTCACGCTGCTCACTTATTGATTGGTTGGTCGAACCTGAACTCTTCCTCCTGGTATCAAGATTCAAAGAGAGATAAGCTTCTAGCTTCGACCACGTTGGTTTTTTCTCAAAATCTCCAGCCGGCGTAGGTAATGACGAGTTTCTACGAGCTGATCTCATTGCATTTTTTCGGTCCTGTTCTTGAATACGAGCCTGTACGTCTGTGGGTCTGAAGAGGCACGCAGCGACAACGCAGTGAAGCTGCAGAGCCGAGCTGATCAGAAGCGTTCCTCGGAGTCCATATGCACTCAAGAGATACTCCAGCAACGGCGGCATGAAGAACGCACCAAAAGCGTTCCCTGACATGCATATCGCGCACGCGATCGTACGGCGCTTGTCAAAATACAAGTTGACGATCAGGATGCCCGGAGTTACGATGAATCCTATTCCTAGACCTGTAAGATCAAACCATGATTAGTTGCGCGGATGATTAATTTTTTGGTATTGTTCCATTTAAATTATTTATTCTTTTTGGAAACCGAAGGTACACATTATATCCATAACAGATGACAGCTATCGTGTTCGGCTAGCACCTCAAGCGACCAACGGCAAAAAGTCGCCCGCGAAGAGTCCAAGCAATAATTTGCGAACAGACCTGCCAAGAGGCCGAGAGTGAAAATGAAGGCGGTGATTGAGGAGGCAAAGGCACTCAGAAAAAGTCCGGCGAAGGCCAACATCCCTCCCCCGATTGCGACTTTCCGAGAACCGTACTTTGTGCACAGCAATCCAGTCACTGGACCTGAAGTTAAGGGCATCGTAAATTAGAGCGCTCCAAGCAAAGATGGAGATACTGAGATAAATTTTTGAGTATCTGTCCTATGGTGTCACAGAGTTTCTTAATTTTACGAAATCCAAGCTAGTCAAGTGCGTGTAAGAGTATGTATGTAGTATGAAGATTAAGATCCTAATGCAATGAGAATTTTGTAGCTGATTGGATATTTTTCAACCGACAAGCTGGCTAAACTAAAACTTGTGCAATCGACAGGAAGTTGCTCAACTGCCTGAAGTACTGAGGGCTGAAAGATGATTTAAGATAAAATTAATATTGTAGTCGAGTCAAATCGTGACGGCAGATTATAAAATTAATATTTTCAGAACGGGAATGAACTATAAGGTGAATCATATGCTCTATGGCAACGTACAACTTAGGAATAACTAATTCATAAATATTAGAGTGCATCGATTTTATTATTAGACATTTTTTAAAGCTCTCAAAACAGCCTAATCGAGTATGTGTTGCTTTCAAATAAAGCATCAGAGGAATCTTACTTTAAAATAGTCATTGGTTATGACATTTTTCTACATTTTGTTCATTTATAATCAGTATAAGACACAGGCCGCAGGTTTAGAAAGCAGATCGCGAGAGAAGGTTCTTGCTAGCTGTATGTATTTACTGCATGCAGCGCTGCAGATAAAATTGCAAAGATTGTGCTATCAAGTGGATTATTACTTAATCAGCATAAATTCAGTGCATCAGCGCAACGAAATCGATAAACAAAAAAGATGAAAGTAATTATCTGTTAATAAAAAAATGCTATAAAAGCGTCCGCAAGAAAGGAACGCAATTATCTGAGCGTACAGATATCGGGTTCAAGGTTATCATACGTTTAAAAAAGCATATGCATTGTCTTTCTATGATGGTGATGTTAGGAATAACTTTATATTGAATTGCACTTTACAACACTTTCTCATCATGGGATGTGAGGCGGACGACGTAAGGCTAATACGACAATTGAATGATATACAAACAATATTTTTTACCTACGGTCAGAACTGCTAAACCGATACAAAATGGTATTGTTGTTTAAAAATAAAATAGATCGCTTATTCCACCTGAACTGGATGCCATTGAAATTATAATCTAGCATTCTTCAATTTCTAAGGTTGATTATAGGCATGGAACATGTCACATTTTTTGCGACGTATGAGGTTTAGAAACTCGCACGAATGAACCCTATACTCGCCTCAAGTTCAAGCAGCACGCTACACCCTAGGGCGAGATGACTTCGTTCAATAACAGATTATTAAGATGGCAGTCATCTTATACGTACGTCGCTGTGCTTTTTGTGAACATTTAACTACGTTGTTTTCTTCCAAGATTTCAAATCCACAATTAAATTCAAATGCATAATTGAAAACTGGAAAAGGTCCCAAACAATAGTAATTGATGCAGAACATAATAATTACGTTATTTAAATATCGATCCAAAAGCGTACTTTATTTATCTAGCAAAATAATACAACACTGAGATTCGCATCCACATCAATATGCCGTTGATGACGTCACTCTCTAAACGCCACAAGACCGGCTGACCGTTAGCATCTGTTTTCATACTCCTCTACTGTATATATGTTAAAAGAAATGCATAACTATAAACACTTGTATTCATATATGCAATCTAAATAATTCCTATGTACGATACACAATAGGAAAAATGTTCTGCCATTACTTCGCCGGTATTCGTATTGTGCGATAGGTCTGTGACCCCAGCCATTACCGAGAGAACGCTGAAACATTCCATGATGATGCTCCAAACCAATACATATATATGGCTTTAAAATTCAAAACTTTTAAATTAAAATTTAATTCGCAATTTATGTCGGTCTGTAATTTAGCAACAACGGAGAATTGAAATTTTTAGCATTGAATTTTGTAAGGAAATTTACAATCACCGTCTTAATAAGAAACGAAACTGTGCTCTTGTTTCATTGTGTTCGAATGGGATAAAACCTAATTTATTTCAATTGAGTGGCAATTAAACAAATTTATTATGCAGGCCTAGTTAGATTCAATTTCAGCCGTCATGCATCGTCAAGTAACTTTATGATCTCAGCTCGATAAAAACGTCGAGTATTCATACTAAGCCTCTTTGGTAATGTCGAACATCTTGCACATGTTTACGTCCTTAGGCTTAGCTGCAGTCATGAATAAGTCAAGCGTCAATTCGAGATGCGTCGATAGCAGCTTTGGCTCGACATCTTTGATTTTTTTTTCCGGTTATAAATAAAACTTTTAAAAGTCCATGTCAGGGCGCTCGCACAGGATTACCGCAATCGCTGATTATAATAATAGTATTATGATACTAATAATGATAAAAAACGACGTTTATCATAATTCCTCCGGTAGTAATAAATAATAATCTTGAGTGTAAGCCTAATGTATTATATAGAATTGATTATCGCCTGACAACCTCGGCATATAATTTATTATAACCGCTTTGAATGTGTAAGTTTTGTCGTCATGAGAAGGCAGTTTATTGATTTATGTACATCAATGACGTACAGTTAGAGGCTTCTTATCTGTTGTTTATATTACTGACAATTAGCTGGTTCAGAGTTGCTAGAATTAAGCTCTAACCCAACTCAACTAATCGCACTTCGGAGCCCATTAAATTACAACGCCTTGAAGGCAAAATTAATAACATTCGATTGCAATCTCTCGCGTAAGTTAAACGGGGGTAAAATCAATGATTATTGAGATATTATTAAACAGTATCATTTTTTGTGCGACGCATTAAATGAGAATAATTCGAACTAATTTGTTAACGGAGATTCATATATCGTAATATATATGTTTTTAGCGCATTTTCTTATATATGAAAAAGGCGCTATTGTGCTCGTCCGTCTGTCTGTCCGTCCGTGACTTCACGTTTTCGTCGACGAGAAAATGCGCTCTCTGTCACTCACTGCAGTGAGTCCCGAGTAATATTTTAGCGCATTTTCTCATTCATGGAAAAAATGCCCTATTGTGCTCATCATGTCAGTGTCTGTTTTTCCGTCCGCCCGTCCGTCCGTCTGTCCGTGACTTCATGTTTTTGTCGACGAGAAAATGCGCTCTCTGTAACTCACTGCAGTGAGTACTGAGTTTATATTTTTTTTATGATAGTTGTGTACACTGATTCGAGATGATACTCATTCATGATGAGTGAATGTACACTCATGAGTATCACTCGAGAGATGATACTCACTCATCAACAATCCCGAGGTGGTGAGCATCGCATGTATCCACGAAGCTCGGTAGGCTGTGCCGCCGAACTGGTTGATGATGCTGAGGTACAACACACTGTAGCTCCTCAGGAACCCAACTATCCACATGTTAGCCATGCACGAAGCTAGGGCCACGACCCAGCCGTACCCGCCATCAGGAGGCACGAACTTCGGCTGGGTCTTCTTAAAATTTGAATCACCGACGATTGAGTTTGCTTTGGACGCTTTTGAGTCGGTATCATCAATGGGGTTATTACTGGCAATCATTTTCCCCGCCGAAGACTTGACTATCGTTGCTTTTGGTACCTGACTTTCATCTATGAGACCCGATTCCTCGGTAGACTTGGACTTGTGAATCGGGACCTCCAGATCGCAACGGTCGTGAATGGATCCTAAAATTTGTGAGTTACCAGAGTCTCGTGAATTTTCTAACGCTTTAGAATTATACGAATAACGAGAGTCAGGTGCACATGTTGGTGATGAAGAAATAACATTATCATCCTGCGAGTTATTGTCCTGCTGATTCTGGCTGCATTCAACCATACCGCTGAGAAGTTCCAAGTCACTCAAATGAGAGCGAGCGGGACCCCTAGCGCGAGCGAGAGTCTTACCTTCCGTCGCTTCCGATGGACAGACAGCAAATCTGCTCTCCTGTGCTTCAAGATCATTTTCGGAATACTTTTTATAGACGCTATCGTCTTCATAAACCATCTCTATATGAGCTACGAGTTACATATACCGGAGAACTGGTTGTGAAATAAACAGGGAATGCTTTGACCCTTTAAAGACCTAGAAAGGTATTAAACGACAGGTAACTTTAACGGATAATGATGCAAACAATAACTTGTGTACATCTTCTCGTCTGTATTTAAATTTAATTAAATCCGAATCAATTCAAATTTTCAGTTATTATTTCGGCTTTTAGGTTGTGAAATATTTACATCGTGAGACGCCAAGTAATGCCAACTCAAGTACAACATTTTAGATAATCTCCAAAAGATTTTGGCATCTGTAAACGGGAAAATTATCTGATTTTCGACCTGGACGCTGGCAGCTCGTTATAGCTGCAACAGTTACCGTAAATTTTTACCGCGTAACCCCTACGGGCTACGGTAGTTTACAAGGAGAATATGTAGCGGTCTAGTTTAATATTTAAGATTTTGTATTAAGAAATGAAAATATTTAGAAATTTAGAATTAGATTTAATTGTAATATAAAGATTTGTTTATATCTGAACGTAACCACAGCTGAATACGACAATAGCCAACTTCATTCCAGCTTTTAGTATTTTCGATATATTGCACTAGAACCTCTTATTAGAGTAAGTACTAAGTGTTGCAACAGTCAGCCTGTACTAAGTGCTTTGTTCAATAGCTGATTTGATTTATACTGTTTATAATCGTTTTCTATGTATTTGTATTTATGTAACTTGTAACAATCTGTTATTTATACAGGGTTCTATACTGAGACCAGAAAAGCGTCTATTATTTCCCTCAATCCTGATCGTGAGATGCTTTAAATATATACAGCACAAATATGATTCGTTCCGCAGCGAATCTTTAACATAGAAAGTTTTTTTAAAACAAAACTTTGCTTTAATGTGTTATTGAACTGCCTAATGTATTGGTTTAATAGACATTTTCAGTGGTTTTAATAAATTATAAGCATTCGTGAATCGTGAATCGTGCTGATATCGAAGTTCGATTGCAACTTAAAAAAGGAGAAATGTTTAAACAGTCATTATTCTGGGAAACCTTTTGTAAAGTAAAACAAAAATATCTAATACTTCACTTGCATTTTCTCGGAAATGAATGTTTTTACTGCGTATTTAAATAACTGCAGACTTGTAAACAGTGTTCTTAAAGCTGCACAGAACGATTCGTCCACTACCATACAAGGTAAAGTAGGTCAGAGACACGATACCCTACCGTCACCGAGCATCGAGGAAGACTAAACAAATTTTTTGTGTCAGCTGACTCCCGAACTCTGCTGCAACTGCAGCCTACAGCCTGCATTTCTACCCTGCCATTCAAATCAGCGACTATCAAACGTTTCGAATACATCATCTTATTTTTCATACAATAATGAGAATGTTAGCACATGCACAAATTTCGTTGCATTTTCTCATTATCTAAATTACTTTTATCAATGTAGTATCTCTTTGTTATCACTTTATTTGCTTATTATAATCTTTTTATTATCTTTATTTGGAATGGAGTAGAAAAAAATTGATAAACAGGAGTTAGTGTTGAACCAGTAAATCCTAACGAAAGCAAGCATAAATTCTGATATTAACAAGTGTTTAAACATATTATTGATATTAAAGAAGCTATTACAGTATTACAGTATTGAATTTTGATGATAATTAGCAACTATTTTTGTTTATAACATTGCCATGAATGGCATAAAATTCTATTTGATATTTAAATTCCAAAAGTTTAAATAGAGCGAAGCATCGAGACTTGGGTCACTTTACTAGAAGAAAGGAACTTCCGTTGCGCCTCCAACTTGACTAAACTATGGAACTATTCGATTGCATTGGAACAAACATTATTTGCCTGCTACTTATCTCACCCGAACTGGTCGCCTAGCTACCTTATAGTTTCTAAAGAGCACTGGATCTATCTACGATTTGCCTCACATCATCAGGCCATGTGTAGCGAGGTCCGCTACAATTCAACGTGGAGAGCGAGCACCAGCAGATAGAAGAATGCAACTGAAAGTGAGAAGATGAAGACTTTAATTAAATAATCATTGCTGAGTCCAGGTGTTACATGTGGTCTTCGCTGGACTTCTTCTTCACCTACAACCTGTCATCATCAAACATTACTTGCGCCCATTTCTGCCTCAATAGTAAATCATTTTTTGAAACGTTGAATTGCACCCCTCGTGGGTTTCCAATAGACACGAGAGCTCATCATTCTATAAGAATGTCTGTCAGTGTCGAGTGCGCATTGCTTTTCGTCAAAACAGAAGCTTTTCCGTGGTACGGTGGTTAGATATTAGACCACCACTCAAGAAATTTAACCGTATAGAAGCAGTCAATGCTTAATATATTTTCTCCGGTGATGTCAACTGATTTTTTCTGCGATCTTTCGAATAAGTGTGTACTGTGTAGTGTGTACTATTATTAGTTTATTACTATTTACTACTGTACTTAGGTATACGGTAATGGTATACCTAGTTAGCTATATTATAGTTCTGAATCCTGATGACTGATATAATCATACGTCTTTATTTTACACCTCACTTGGACTGTTGGACATCATGGTTTCACCTAAAAGATGCAGTGTTGCAGTCACTTATAAAGGCACTTTAATAATGCAAGGCTCTGGGATCTGGGAAAATTTATAGTCTTTGCAAGCATAGCGGCAAAGCAGAGTTTTTTACTCTCCCTCAAGTTCATTTTTGAGTCCTATAAGTAGGTAGACCAGCAATTAGCAAAGTATCATCACTATCATGGATACCAGCATTATCATACATAAGAAATTGGTTCAAATCTTGAAAAAATGAGGAAATTAAAAATTAACTGATCCTAAAAAATCTCTGGTTTGTCACTATGTTAAATTGCAAAATTGCAAGTTAAGAATTTTGTTATCCCAAATCCAAAAACCAAATTCCCTAACCCTCAGCGCTCAGCCCTAGTCTGGAAAAGTCCTATTTTTGTCTAAAATATCGCAGCTCTAATATCATATAATTTCAGTAGGTATGAAATCTCACGGCTCGAATGTCAAAAATTTTTGTTTGATTAAAAAATCGCGGTTTGCACTTCGCAAACATGTCATTTCATAAAATTTTCAACTTCCGCAATCATCGTAGAAATGGAATCACGGCTGGCAAATCCATAAAACCACGGCTCGAAAAATTCAGTCGCGGCTCGCCAAGTAGATATATTCCATACTAGGCTCAGCCTGTTACTGTTAGTGTTAGCCTGTTTTCCTGTAGATTTATGTTGCACAAATCCTGTAATCCCAATTCCCAACCTCTGAAATCCAGTCACCCACTCACCCTAAATCTTTTCACATGATTCCCCACTGCATGAACACTAATTTGTTTGGCTTTCATCAATTCATTACCACTATGTCTCTTCCCTTTTAGGATTTATGCTATTCTTTATTAATATTTTATGTCATCATTATGACATCATACAATTGATTTGAAGGATAATTTTTGCATGAACAAAACTGATAGCAAATTTGACTATCCAATGACTGGACTGATCAAGGAACCTACCTACCTAGAAGAATATTTTTCAAACTATTAGTAGCTATATTACTATTTAGAGCAGGGCTAATAAGTTCTACTATTTAATGTTTATGATTATTCAGTTTATTTATTAAAGTCAAGGACTCTAATAAATAATAATGACCCATGGCAATATCATGGTCAGGAAGATGTGCCAGGTGCGTGGGAATTTATATTGTCATTTTAACGACCTGCGCGGTGCGCCGTACTATGCCGGTAAAAAAAATGCGCCGTGCGCCGACAGCGCCGTACTTTTAGAAAGCTAAAATAGTTTAAATATGGACGCGCGGCAATGCAAATTACGTAATCACACTGACCGTACACACAAACGTGTATCC